TTTTTTTTTTGAGATGACATAATATCAAAAACTATTTTTTTATCAAAAAATATGTATGCATGTGAAAAATTTTTCAAGAAAAAACATTTTTTTTTTTTATTTTTTTTTTCATAGATAATTTTGATGTATGTATGTGTAATTTTTTTTAATTTTTCCTCGCCCCGTTCTCGAGATATTTGGAAAACTATTAAATCGATTTGGTTTTGTTTTTGTGCTGTAAAGTTTTTAAAAAATTTATTAGTCAAGCTCAAATTTCATATTTATTTATTATTTATGTTTATCCAACAACCCTAAAAATTTGAAACAAATCAAACACATGAAGTGTGAACCCCGTCCACTTTGGTATGGAACGCCCCATATATTTTTTTTAGTTAGGTTGTATGTAACTACCCTGCAGTGAATAGCCAAACCAGTTAGAAAAAATGGTATTTCGTTAACTAGTATGTGCCCACCATTTATGATTTTATATGCTGAAAATGAGAAAGAAAGCACTTAATTTAATGGGTTGGCGTCAGAGTGCTTAATTGCAAACATTTGATTAAATTTATATACGTATGTACATTAGGGTGGTAAAAAAAAAATACCAAACGCAGAATTTTAATGCTCTCTTGTTCTATATCGAAAGAATATACCCCTATTTTTTATTTGGAAATCAAAATATATTTCTAGGTCGCTAGAAGTGCTCAAAGTTTTCCATATATTTTATATCGGTAGAAAAAACTTTTCGGAGAAATGGTATACAATTCTTGAAAATCAATATTTTTCGATCGGAAAACTCTATTTCTCTTCAGAAGACTTCCAACAATAATACTCAATGGTTTATTTTATTTTTTTTTAACAGATTAAGATTTTTTATTGGACGCCCATTACATTTTCTGAGGTTTTTGGTGGACCTATTAAATATAGTTGCTATGAAAAAATGATCAAGAAGAGAAGCAGAGTTTTCCGTTGGAAAAATATTGATTCGTAAGAATTCTATACCATTTCTACAAAAAGTTGTTTTTTCCCATATAAAATACATACATGGAAAACTTTGAGCGACCTCTAAATATTTTTTTTTATTTCAAATTAAAAAATATGGGTATATTTTTTCGGTATAGAATAATGCTAGGGGGTGGGGAGCAAAAAAATTCGAATTTCCTTTTTGACATGCATTTTTGGACCACCCTTATATGCATTCATGCATTAATATACATATGTGAATTTCCGCAAGTGAGATTTTATTATTTTATGTTTCGATTGAATTGTTGGTGATGCCAAATAGCAAATGTGTGCGCATTTGTATGTGTGTATGTATGTATGAATGTATACATATTCACACCCAAATTTTTTTTGCACTTTGCTGTTCACTTTATTGTTCGCGGGAAGCTTGACGTCAGTGTAAATCGTACCGTAAATTTTTCTCCACATTTTGAAGATCTTTTTGTTTAGATCTGTTAATTTTTAATAAAACTAAGTTCGACTACAACAAAATCCATAAAACTCCAACTTTGACGGCTTCAACCTTGTACTTTGTTATAGTAATGAATGGACTAAAAAACTGCATACTCAAAAAAAATTCTAAAAATTCTAAATAAAAAGTGTGAAATTTTAATGAAAATTTGACGATTTTTTCAAGTTCATTCCCGACTAGTTTCGAAATAATCCAAAATTATCCCGTACTAGGTCCGAAATTGTTCTTAAGTAGTTCTGAATATGTTCTGAAAAGTTGTGAACTTTCCCCGAAATAATCACGAACATGTCTTGAAGCGGTCCCCCCGAAATGGTGCCTTAATAGTCCCGATATGATTCCAAACTAGTACCAAAAAATTCCTTAAATAGTCCCGAACCAGTCCCGAAAGGATCTTGAACTATTCCCTAAATATCCCTAGTGCAAAATTGTTCTGAAATAGTCCTGAACTAGTTCAAATGGTCTAGATTTAATCCTGCAATAGTCGTAACCTAGGCTCGAAATGGTCCTGAAATTGCTCCGAAATAACCCTGAACAGGTGCCGAAACGGTTCCGAAATGATCCAGAAATACCACTAACAGGCCCGAGAACGGTCGTGAACTTCACCCGAAATGATCTCTACCTAGTCTTGAAATGGTCCCTTTCCCTTATTAGTCCCAAAATGATCCCGAACTAGTTCCAAAAGGGTCCTAAACTAGTTCTGAGCTATTCCCGAAATGGCGCCGAACTATTTCCAAGATGATCCTGAACTTGCCCTGATATGTTTCCTAAATATTACATTTTTCTGCTGGGTTTCACAAGAAGCAATTACATATTTTTCGCTAGGTTACCGCATATTTTAGCCATACCGAGGGCTAAGATGCTTACACGTAAAAAAAAACAGCCTAAAAGGGTTTAATTGGAACTCAGTTTCTTCGATTGATTGGGATTTTAAGTAACCGAAACACAACTACGTGAATTCTTATGTTAATCCAAGTGAATTTGAATCTAGTGAACTATGTACCATAGTATGTACTACCACCACCTTTGCTTTGCACCATTCAAACTTACATCTTCTGATTGGGCCGCTGTCGTGCGCCCACTCTCGAATGCGCTCTCGTCCGTCATTTGCCTCTTTGGTGGCGTTGTCATCGCCGGCCTCTTGATCCACACATCATCCAAATGCGATAGATCACCGCGTCTTTTAACTAAACTAGTATCACAATTATTGTAACTTTGGTGGTGATTGAGACAAGTTTTGCTGATTGGGGATGTGGTTGTGGAAGTCGCATTTGCTGTTGAGATCTTTTCACTCTTTGGACGCGTCGCATCATTGTCGCTTTGATTGAGCGATGAATTGCTGCCAACGGGCGTACGTATTTCGACCAAGGATGCATCGAAAAACTTTTTCGAAAGATGTGGCACGGCAACGGGATATTTGTGACTGCCATAACGCTGCGAAAAGAGCCCCTGCACCGATGTGTAGCCACCATAGCTGCTGGGGAAGCTGATGGTGTGTGCATTGGCACTAGAGCTCAGGTGCTTCAGCTTGTCGGCCTCGGTGCGCAATTGTTGGAGTTCGGGCGTCTCCTTGGCTTTGGTTACCGTGAATTTACCTTTGATGATGAGTTTTTCGTTGCTATCCATGTGCGCTAATGTCGGCTGCGTTATTTTTGGCACATTTGCGATTGCGGTGCTAGCTGGATTGTTGGATGACATCGAAGTCGATGTTGAGGTAATTTGTGCATTGACGATATCTGTAGTCCGACTCTTTTCCACGAATTTTTCGCTTACCGACGCCGTTGGCGCCGTTGCATTCAGCGGTGCTGGCATTATCGCCTTTTGCGGTTCTTCGGCTGCCTTAATCATCTGCAAAGGCTTTGACTTAGTCGACTGCAACAAATTGATCAGTGAAGGTGGCAAAATTGTTGGTGGTATTGGCGGTGGTGGCGGCGGTGAGACATGCTCCGCGGTCACAGTCACCGTTTTGATATCCTCTACGTTGTTCGTATTGATGCTGTCTATCTTATGCATGAATTGCTGTCGCAAGCGCTCCAACTCTTTGAACTTCTCCGCCGATGCCTCATCTGTGGCCGGTGGTGGTGGTGGTGGTGGCGGCGGCGGTGGTGGTGGCGCTGTAGGATGTGCAGACTTATCGAATTTGAGCGCCGCCATTTCGCTCGTTTGCGGTTGTGGTGACTTGTCGCCGTCGTCCTCATCCTCCTCCTTGCATTGTGAGAGACGGCGACGCTCCACGAACGGCAGCAAATAGGGACGTGTATGGAAGATGTCCAAATTGCGTGAATCTGCTGGGAAAAATTTACCCAACCGCTCGTCATTCTTCAGTTCAGCTGTATGTGTCTCCTCCTCGCTATCGCTACTACTGCTACAGCTGTGATAGTCAAATGCGGAGGTTGGCGGAAAACTGCTCAACATCGAGCTGCCAAATCCGCTTGAGAATGTTAGATTGTCACTGTCAATGCTGCGCAGTCCAGTCGTCACAGAAGCGCTGACTGTGTCATCGTACTCATTGGCGCTCTCCGAGTCCGATTCATAGCCATCCACCTCGTCCTGTTCCAAACAATCCATCGATTCGTCGAAAGCGTTCTCAAATAGATCGTCGCCCAACCGGTGCAACGGTGCGGTGGTTTGCAGCGCCGGCAGACCTGCATGAGTAGCGCTGATGCTAGCTGAATCGTCTGAGAGTGAATTGTCGCTTTTGCTTTGCAGCAACTCAATGCTGTCCGCGCGTTGCTCTTGCGCCATTGAGGCCGTTGAAGCGTTGTTCGAGATGGGGCATTTACGTGGATCGGCGCTGTTGCTACCCTCGATATATTCACAGTTGGTGGCCATTTGAGTGGAATACCTCGTGGTCGTAGCGCCTTTGTTCGTTAAAATAGTTCAGTAAGTTTGTTTTGATTGAATAAAATCTGTTAAGGGGTTGTCGGGTTTTTTACAAAAACACTTAACACGTATTGACAATTACAATTTCTCTTTTTTTTTTGGGATTCAAAGACTTAAAAAGTGTACACAACACAAAAACGGAGACTCACTACACTTTACGTCGATAATATTTTCTTTTGAACGACATTGATTTGCCGATTTTTAACACTGCATTGAAATGATACTTATTTGTGGTTTCGAGCTGGATTTGCTTATAAATTTGTGAAGTCTTTTTAATTGTTGTTATCAGCTCATTGATCTGGAAAACAAAAAATAAAATTGAGTATAATTAGTGTGTGTCTATAGAAGCTATGGTGGAAAAACTTTCCTTTCGCTTGTGGTTGATATGACTTGGATCAAAGTAGATTGGCTTCAAGAAAAATTACATAGATCTCTTATTACATATGCTGAAATGAGTAATCGTATCAAGTGGCTTAAACCTCGGTGCAATAGCATAGGAAAGCGTGAATAATTTTCAAGTTTAGGGTGCCATCAGAGGGAACAAGTAAAATGCTTTCAGCAGATCCGTTGAAGTGGCATAAACCTGAGAGTAATTGACACTATGTATGCTTATTTTTTTAATAAATATTGTTTGAGTTTGGATTGCCATCAGACAGTATGCCTGTAAGAGTCCTTATTTTGCTGAAATTAGTAACCTGATGCTGTGTAATGGTAAGTGTAATGTTTGCAGAATGTCGAAGTTATTTAGTCTTCAAATTTATTGATGAAAGAGTGGCATCTTGCTCTTTACGTGTTTTGTTAAAGATTTTTTTTTGATTGCCGAAAGCAGCTTTTAACTTTCTGATATTAATTCTTTTCGATATTGCAATGAAAACAGGATTTTTCTTATGACTTAAGGCAATTTTATTAACGCTGATTTGTGTTTTATAAATGCCAACATTCATACCAAGTTTCTATTTTCCAGTAGAACATTCCCCAAAAGACCAAAAAGATTTCAAAAAAAAACAAGTAAGAAAGTCTAAGTTCGGGCCGAACATTAAATACCCGGCGCAAGTATTACATATATGCCTTTTTACCTTTCCGAAACCTTCCGCTAGATGGTAAGCCGGGGTGTATCAATTTTGAATAAATTAGCATCCTTAAATTTCGAGATATTGACGTTTCGAGCATTTCTAAAATTTACCGTTATATGAAAAGCCGTAATTTTAGTCCGATTTCAATAATTTTGAACGTTTTGCTTTTATGTGGCAAGCACAATAAAAATACCGAGTTTGGTACAAATTGGTAGAACGGTTACCGAGATACATATATGTGATCATAAGTGGGCGGTGCCACGCCCATTTTCCAAAATTTTATGATAAGCGTATTTCCTGATAAAGAATTGTTGCAAGCATCAATTTTGAATAAATTAGCTTCAATATTTACGGATTTATTGAAGATTTCGTATTTCTCCAAATTACCGTTATATGGGATGTGGGCGTGGTTATTGTCCCCTTTTTAAAATTTTCGGCCATTTGGTATCCTGTACCAAGGCCAATAACTGTGCCAAGTTTGGAAGAAATCGGTGCAGCGGTTGCCAAGATATACACATGTAACATTAAGTGGGCGTGGCTACGCCCATTTTTCAAAAATTTATAATATTCTTATTTTTCGTCTAAAAGTTATTGCAAATATCAATTTTGAGTGAATAATCTTCAGTAGTTACTAAAATATCGCAGTTTTCGTATTTCTGAAAATTACCGTTATATGGGAGGTAGGCGTGGTTATTGTCCGATTTTGCCCATTTTCAATACTATCCGTCCTACGCCCGAAAGAAGTACACGTGCCAAGTTACGTTAAGATATCTTAATTTTTACTCGAGTTATCGTGTGCACAGACGGACAGACGGACGGACGGACGGACGGACGGACGGACAGACAGTCACCGCTTAATCGATTTCTCTTTTCATCCTGATCATTTATGTATACATTTGTCTATATCTATCTCGATTCGTTTTGCCTGTTACAAACAACCGTTATGTGAACAAAGTTATAATACCCTTGTGCACAAGTGCGCTCGGGTATAAAAAATACTTAATCACCCCCAAAATTCACGAGTTAAAAAAAAACTGAAAAAATTCCCACAGATCTCAAAGAATGCCAAGATAATCCTAAAAGTAATGAGAAAGTCGCGAAAGCTCTGAAAACTTGAAAAAAAATCACGAGTCATATGAGGCAGGTTGGAATAGACTAGGACTTTTTTATGAACCGTTTTCAATAATATGTGAAGTTTAGCGACACCTAAAATTACTTTAAAGTTTTGAAGTGATATTGTACGTGGAACAAAATAAAAGGGTGTCCATTATAAAATTTAGATGTTTACATTTTTTAAGGAACATCCTAATATATACCACATACATGTACATATGTTATATACATATGTTATTTTTCCGAAGTCCATTAATTCATTAATCATTTAATCGGGTGCTAAACACCAGTAGCCGTCCACTAATTAGTGACAACTCTCTTCACCACTTTGAATATCTATTATTCTCCTTTCACATCCATGTTTTTTCTCCAATTTTGAATGGTTCAAGTGTCAATTTGTGCGCACAGCCCACAAACAAGCAAGCTTAATTAATTAATTTAACATTATAACCAGAGTACTTACAATTAGGGGATTCACAAGACGTGTTAACCGTCGTAAAATCTTAAGGTTAACATCTTTTTTAATTAAAATGGTTTTAGGGGATTTCTCACTAAACCGAAATTCTTTTAAACTGATAAAGAATATATAATTAGCCAACCCCCCAACCATTTTAACCGCTATTTTACATAAACCAGTGTTAAGCTTAAGATTTTACGACGGTTAACACGTCTTGTGAATCCCCTAAATGTTAATTCTCCCCTACCATCCATTAACCATTGGCGACCAATATGGCGCATTATTTTTTAATATTTTAGCTGGTACTGCGATAGCTTGGTTACCATAAAATTGATGTGCATAGTGCACAGTGGCGGTCGAAAATGGATAAATGGTGTTTAGTTTCTAATATTTACAATGTTTTTTAAGCTATAATTTTTTCGATATTTTTTCTAAAAATATGGTTCATGCTTTAACAAAAACTATATAAATCATGCATTCAAATTTTGTGCAGAGCTTAGAAAAATTCCACAAATTATTATCTAAATTTCGAGCTTTTTAACCAGAATTTTTAAAAATTTTTTGGATAAGCAGTTAACAAAATTCGATTCAAATAAACGCAAGTTTTTAGCGGCTAAAAAATCGTATTAATTTTTATAAATTTTTTTTTGTTGGCGGTGTTTTGCACTTTTTGCCATATAAACATGAATTTCTTGTGGAAGAATATGCGCAAGACCTTTTGCGAAAAAAAAATAAAAAAGTCAACGCCATTTTTCCTAAATTTCGCTTTTTATATGAAAAAAAAAACGCAAAAGCCGTAAAAAAATTAATAAAACTTGCATTTATTTGACTAGAATTTTATAAGCTTGTTAATGCATACCCAAAAAATTTCTAAAAATTCTGGTTAAAAATTTAATTTAATTTGTTTAATGTTTCTAAGTTCTGCGCAAAGTTTGAAAGTGTGATTTATATAGTTTTTTTAAAGCATGATCCATATTTTTATAAAAAAAAATATCAAAAAAAATTTGCTTGAAAAACATCGTAAATATTAAAAGCGAAACACCATTCATCTATTTTTGACCTCCACTGTATGTATGTAGATACATAGTACATATGTACATAATATTCACGATCATCAATCAATGGTTCTATAGTACTGACGAGTATGTACAGTGGTCCACAAAATAATAGGAATGCGATATTTGTCTTTTGTTGATTTAATGTTTATTAGTTTTTTATAAAGGTCAAGCTGGATATACAATAAATGCCGAATAAATTTGAGATTTCAATCTTTTTTTTTTTTAATTCTGCAAATTTTCACCAAAATTTTAAATTTTTTAATCAGAATCTTTTGGTGTGCAGTTTTGTAGCCCATTTAATTCTAGTCTAATGAAGTGCAGGTTTCAAGCTGCTGTAAAATCCCGTTGTTTTTTGGAATTGTTTTTTTTTTTTTGTTGGCAGTGTTGAAGCACCTTCAACAAAAAAAATTCTCAAAAATCAACGAAATTTTTTACGAACTTGAAACTTGCATTTCTTTGCACCAGAAATAAATAGGCTACGAAACTGCAACGAAAACCAACATTTTTTCTAAAGATTCTGATGTAAAAGTTTGATATTTGGTGAAATTTTGCAGAATTTTTATACAAAGTTTAAAATCTGAATTTATATGGTGTTTGTTGTATTACCAGCTAGACTTATATAAAAAATAATAATAAATAAACGTTACATAAACAAAAGACAAATAGCCAAAACTGGACAAAATCTTCCACTCCTATTATTTTGTTAACAACTGTACATATGTATTTACAATAGTTGCTTTTGTGTAAATTCATAAAGTGCGTTCTTAGGCTCTTAATTCGACATATATGTATATGTACATACATAAGTATACTATATGTATGCATGTATGTATTTCATTGCTAATGAGTTGAACAAATATTTTTCTTCCTTCAACGCCTTTTGTTTACAAATAAATTTAGGCGAGTATTCTGTAATTCGTCTGACCACAAATACGTAAGCGTTGACAGATACACAGCCAGCCGGGCACTGACATCATCGAAATACCATAGTCATCAAAAGAATATTCCTAAGAAAAAAAAGGGCCCTTTAAACAGCTTGGAGCAAAGCTTTTGAGGGCATTTAAAGTTAAATGGGTATTTTGTATGTAAAACATGTACACATGTATGCATAAGTATGTATGTACATATATATTTACATGTACTTATGTTTATTTTTGTACGTAAGCATTTAAAGGCATTTTTTACCCATAATTACTCGGATGTTCATTGGAAGCAGCCATATGCACTTTCGGATGTATAAATGTTTATTAATGTATCAAATATTTGCCACCGCGCAACCCAACACAGCCGACATTCTCGTACTTACATACGAAGTCAACTGATCAACAAAATGAGCAAAGTGAACGAACAATTTCATCGAAAGCAGATAATTTAAGAACAATCTTTTATTAATGAAACGAACAATAAAAATTCGTGCTGCTATGAGTATTTTGGTATC